TGTACTCTTTTTCCTTCGTTTTGATTTTTTTGTCCCATTGAGTTTTTATCAAATAAGGTTTTAACGAGACAGATATTTTGTAATGTGTCATTCAAGGGGGAGTGTTGTAAAAGGAAAGTAAATTAGGGTTTAGTATGAATGACACTTGTACCCCTACAACCCTAAATATAATTACTATATGTATCCCTATTCATTTCCTATAAATATAGGGTTTGGTTCTCATTATAATACACAACAAGTCTATTAACTTCTCTTATTCTCTTCTCTTATACTCTCTTTTATAACAATATGTACTTTGAGGAATTATTCTACTTTTTATATCCTTAATTAAAGATGATTTGATTAGATGAAAAAATGTACAAAAAAGTGAAACATCACACCACCCTCACCCCAACCTTCTAAACCCAATTTCCAACCCTGAGGCTACCCACGCATTGTAAATCCATATTCATGAGTGACCACATTCATATTCCTAAAAAAAAGTCAGATTTTCAAGCATTTCCCATGTAATGTTGGGTAGAATTTTTTAGTTAGTTTAATTTTTTGGTTTATGAAAAAGTTGGATTTATTCCTCTATTTTTGCCTTCTTTTTTTTTTGTTTGGTGTTTCTATTTTTTGAAGTAGATTTGTTCCTTTAAATTTGTAACTAGGATTACTTAATATTTCATAGCATATGTGCTTTGCTAATAATAAAGCGATAATATGTGAAAAATTTAGTGCATTCTTGTTTAGTAGATTACATTTAGCATGCATTTGGAAGCAAGAATGTGAGCAAATTTAGTGCACTTTTGTTAAGTGTTGGTTGTATGGTTTTGACTATTTTTCTTTGTTTTGAGTCTTTATAGAGGATTTTTTCCAAATATGTTATTGTTTTGGAGGTTATCATTAACTTAAATTCTTGTTGTATTGTGTTATGAATATAATTTTGAATTTGTATCAAGTCTCATTTTTTGTAACTAGTGGTTCAATTGGAGGATTCAAACATCTAATTCATGTTAACAATTGAACTATCCGAGCTTAATGATGTGTATTGTTTTCAAGATGTAGTGGAATGATATATTATTTTTTTCGAATGAAATGTGCAATAGTAATAACACAAACATCAAAATATTACGTGAACAATGAATGTCATCTTGTAATTTACAAAAAATCATTAGACTTATGGCGTATGATGGAAAAATATTCAATCCCGGTTAAGTATGATGAAAAAACATTCTTCATGAAGCATTAAATATATTCATCAATGCTTAACTACAAAAAGATTAAATCTTGACAAAGAACTTACACAATGTTATATTAAATAAAGAAAATTTACAAATAAATGTGAGCATGTTGTATTTAAGATTCCAAAATACTAAGTTATAAGATAAAAGTATGCAACAAATTGTAAATACTAATCTCAAATGAAAGATGAATCACCTTCTTGATATTTCAATGGTGAAGAAGTAAACTTATGTTTTTGGAGAAAATATATCATTTGATTTTCTCTAACAAAATTGTATTTTTCTTGGATATCTTCTTCAACTAGCTAAACGTCACGTCCTAGTATTGAATGAGCATTAAATGCATACAAAACGGTAATTAAAAGGGTAAATATGATTTTTTTTTTTTTTTTGCACAAAAAACCACATTTTTTAGCACCTTTCAAGAAGTAATAAATTTTTTTTGTCCATTTTCACGGTAAGGACAACAATGCAAAATCTCCTTTTTTAATTAACAAAAAATATAAACGCATATATAATGAATTACATTGGTGGTAACCCTTTATGAATATAGCGCCTTGGCCCCAATTCCAGTTCAACCTAGTACCTTTTTTATCTAATGAATATAATGTATTTTTCGACAGTTTTTTTTTTTTTAACAAAAACTTGAATAGGATCCGTTCTGTTGTCATCAGCTGCTAGTCATACTTTCTATTGTTCATCTTCTTAAGCATGTACATTGCATGCATGTGATCTTTGAAATCCCGAATAAGCATCACTCGCCTTCTTGCATCGGAGAATCGAGCCCCTCAAACAAAAATTTTAAGAAAGCGGCCAGGTGCGTCGGGTGACATTCACACCGCGATTCTTCTATTCAAATTCGTACATTCAAATGATGCCTTCAATGTTTTCAATGTCTCGTTATTTAAGTCTAATATTGCAATTTCACTCTCCAAAAACACACAAATATTTCACTACAAATTCTCTCTCCAAAAACATGGATAAAAAAACCATTAAAACATGCAATAATGCAAATAAAATTAACGAACCTAATAGCAACACTAGTCTATGATACAAATACAAAAGCTTCCACTTCTTTTTAAGGGGTGTGGGGGTAGCTCGGTGCTCAACATGCAAAGCTATTGGCCGGTGGGGTTAGAAATGAAATGCCCTGGTAATAGCAGTAGGGCTTCGATAATGGTGAACAAACTCCGTGAAGAAATCTGTAAACCATATAATATAATTTCTCTTCCATCAGCAGTTGCAGCCTCCACTTTCGCCGCCGTTTGAGGTGTTGCTTCTGTCACGCGCCACATCATAATCATGACTGACACTCCCATTTACTTCTACGTTACCTTCAATGAATTCAATTATGTTCATAACTCGATTCTGATTCCTCCGAACTGGCCGCGGGAGATGATGAAGACAGCAACAGCGGCGGTGGACTGTCGCTACAAACCGAACGTCCGCCGGTAACTACTGGCATTGGCTCCGTCAATCTCTTCCCATCTCGCGGCGGTGAAAACAGCACCGGCATGTACTCCTCCGCATCCCCCGGAAACTTTGAATTCTTGAAATGCTCTCTCAATGCTTCTATTCCCTTCATCCATTTCACATAAAATATACGGAAGACTCATTTACGAAAATTGTGATCGTGTAAAACCTTAGATAAGAACTTGTAAATGAGATGGTTAACAGTAAAATACCTGTAATCTAGCATAGGTGACTTCACAAATTTTTCTCGAGTTAAAAACTTCCCAGCTTTGATTATGAAATGCTTTGTAGAGTCTCATTGTTGCCTCTGGGGAAGTCATATTCACGAACCCGTAACCTACATTGCACTTGTTGCTGTCCAAAAAAAAAAAAAAAAGACGATTATAAATAATTATCTATTGATCTTAAGTTAATTGAGTAAGTTATATGATTAGTTATACATGAAATCAATGGGGAGATAGACGAAATCAAAAGCGGACAGTGGCTGATCATCGCCGTCGGCAATCTGCTCGTTGCAGTGAATACAGTGGTTGTCTAGCATGTTCAGAAGCAGCTTCTGGCTGCACAAGAAAATAAGTGAAATTATCCAAAAATAAAAGTAATTATTTATTAATATGATTCATTTTTAATTTTTTTGGCGGGTTTTTGAGGGCAAAATGGAATGAAGAATATTTTGGCTAGAAGAACAAGCAAGAGGTAGAGAAGACAACACAAACCTGTACTTGTTGGGGATGTTTTTCATCATGATAGTAGTTCTGGAATCCCTGCAATTCGATTGCATAATCGCATCTTCGTTTATCAAAAACCGAGTATCATAATCTCTACCATATTTTGCTCCACCGCCGCTGCCATTGCCGCCGCTCTTCCACCGCCCACTCTTAGTCTTCGAATTTGCACCACCGCCAGTGCCACCATTTCCACCTCCAGTGTTTACTTCTTTCTTATTCTTCTTGTTTAGTTTCTTAGTACAACTATTGGAGAACTCTTCATATCCACCACCACTAATATACAAAGAAGCTATTGATTGGCGTAGCGATCCACTACTAGAACTCTTGCTGCCACCACACAAAAAACTTGATTTCCTCGATAATTCTGTTCTTGAATTGTAACTTCTTGGCGGCACATTGGTCAGTACTCGGCCGGATATTCTATGCTGCTGGCGCGGTGGAGGAGATGGTGGTGGGATTCTCGACCAGGAATTTCTTGTAGAATTGAATCGATTAAATTGAGAGGGACGGGGTAATCGTCCACCGGGTTGACTGAATTCAATCACGATTTGTTTGCCATAAATTTCTTCGCCATCCATCCCTGCAACGGCCTTTGCTGCATCTCTCACATCATAGAACTCCACGAACCTTTGGTTTTTCTTATTTGGTGTCTCTCTCAATTCCTTCACGGGCCCTGCAAATTCATTTAAATCCACAAAAATCGAAATTTTTTACAGAAAAGACAATTCTTTGCAAGAAAATGACACAACAAATAAACAAAAATAGACTTATCGCCCCCACATAATCTTACTATAGATCTTATGAACATCATAATTATTACACCTTGACAAGTCAAACGTGTATACATACAAACAAAAAATATGACTATGAATTTACACCATATACGCTAATGTTGTAAATAAGAATTCACGCGTATATATAATACATACATACCGAAGACTTCGAAAATTTCTCTGAGATTGGTTGGAGAAACTTGAGGGTCTAGATTGAATAGTACGATAGTGCCTTGATTCGTTCCTTCAGGAAGGGCGGAGGTCACCGGAGAGGTGAACTGGGCCCACACAACAACGCTGGAAATAAGGCCACGCGCCGGAGGAGGAAGCGGCGGAAGGGGTATAGACATTAGAGGAATCGAATTGTTTTGAGCTTGCAAAAGGGCTTCATAATGGCGGCCCAGCCTACACTGCTGCTGCATGTGCTGATCTTGTATTGCCAGTAGCGCCGCCTGTGCGTCCCTCAAGTCGTAGAAATGGACCGTCACCACCCCCTCCCTCAGCCGCTCCATTTGTACGGCCCGAACATCACCGAACACCTCTAATTCTCTTCTCAACGTCGACTCGCTGACGTCGGTCGGAACCATGGTGAGTATCAGAGTCCTCGTCGGCGTCGATGACGAAGGCGGCAAAGAAACCAGCAACGGTTCTGTGTTGCACACCGGTGGAGGCGGTGGGTTGGCGAACTGCGGGTCGGCGTACCCCATGTGCGGCGGACATGGCGGAGAAAAGTACGGATAGTAAATTTGGAGCGGAAGTAAAGGTAAAGTGGTAGTGGGGAAGAATTCTTGAGCCCTAGGGTCAAGATGTCCCTGGAACCTGTTCAAACCCCTCTCATCCATGGCGGTTTTTTAACCGGCAAACCTAATTGAAAACAAGAAAAGGGTGGTGGTTTTCCGGGTAATAAGAAAGAAGGGTTTTTGCACTTGTCAATGAAATTTTCTGTTGTTTATATTATATCTTTCATTTCCTTCTGGTTTTTTACGGTCTCCAAATCAATATACAGTATATCTATACTCTCTCTCCAAGTTCTTGATAGAAAGTACATTTCTAAAATCTGTATTTTCTCTCCCTAGACACTATTGAGCACACATATCACCGTGTGAGTATCCTAAAAGCCTCAATTTTTAAAGAGCATATTCTACTATTTGAAAAATATATATAAATTTAGAGACTTAAAATTTTGAAGTGCTCCAATAAACTCTTTATATTCAACACTTAATTTTACTATTACTAAAAATATTTATTATTTTTTCTCCAAAAAATATATGGGGGGCCAAACTCACTCTCTAAATTAAAATGTTAATTTAAAGAGTCTCTTGAAACATGATTTTAAATGTTAGACTCTTTAAAATATAGAGTATCTTATGTTTAAAGAGTTTCTTGAAAATGCTTTAAATATCTGTCAATAATGCTACACAAGTTCACTGATAAGGATTAAAAATAGAGAAACGTGACGTAATATTATTGGACGATTTAAAAATTAAAAAAAAAAAAATTAGCCACACAGATGCTACCAACGCAGCACATTAGCAACACATGTCCCTGCGCTTGTTTGCAATCCATGTTTGAGTAGCATTATTCACTATCTATTAGGGTCTTTGTTCGTCTGTATGTATCTGTGTATGTAGAGGAGTTGAGATCTGTTGTCCAATTTTTATTATTTAATTTATTATTTATTCAATTAATTATTGATATGTCATTTTAAATTAATATTTCATTATTTTGGTGGAGTAATGGTGAAATTAGTGGGGATAGATTTGAGATGACATGTTAATTTAAAAATGATTGTCAATAATTAATTATGTGAATTGCAAATTGAATAGCAAAAATTGAACAATAGATCTCAACGCATGTATATAGAGGGATATGAGAATGTTATAAAGAACACATGAAGTTGCCTGGTACTCGACTTTCTTTTACAAACAAGAAAGTTTGATAGAAAAATTTGTGCAAAAATACGAAAGTGCCCTTTTAAGAGAAATTTTGGGAAATGCTAATTTTTATATAAAAAAAAAAAATACTACATGTACATAATAGTTTACATCATGTGTAAGTAAANTTTTTTTTTTTTTTTTGATAAATAGATAAAAATTTATAAATCTACGTGTAAAATTATTTTCTCGAAATTGAGTTCAGTATTAATTTACATAAAGTAATTATCTTTCAAAATACTCATAGTTAATGAATTAGATTGTGAATTAATGATGAGATTCAACCCAAAAAAAAAAGAATAATAATAATAATAATGATATAGCATCATTGGTGTTTCACACAAGTGTATGCGATATTATGTATTATGTTCAATTAAATATATGATTATATAACAATTTAAGATTCAATCATGCTACATGTATATCATTGTTTACATCATTTTTTATGTCACTTTGACTATACATGGTTGGACAAATTTAAAGAAAAAAAAACACACACACACACACTTTCCCACTAACACTTTTTGAAATACAATGAAATGTACACAATTAAAGGTACACTTAACATAATTCTTTAAGATTATTGTGGGGTCTACTCAAATGGTATTTAATTTTACGAACAATATTATACAGCATCCAGTCTATTACTAATAATCTATTACTGTACAAAATTACTCAAATTTCATTGTCATTTGAGAATTAATTGACACAGATATATTTCATTTCTCTTGTATCATTGAGAATACATTTTAGTATTATTTTTTCGAAAAGGTTCTCATATTTTTCAACTTAGGAAATAATTGAAACAAATATTT